ATGCAAAAATCTATAAACTTTCTCATCAAATTTAAACGCTTTAAGATGAACAGCTCTGACGAGGATTTTCTGTTATTTGTTTCTGTTATGTAATTTTTTGATAAATGCATAGGTTCCTTTCAAGTTAATTAAAAATAATTAAACAAATTATCGTTTTTTTTTAAATTTTTGTTATTATCTACCTGATATGAAGCTCGTAGGAAAAATGTTGTTCCTAACACGTGCGCAAAGTGTCTTTTCCGCACGCAAACACGTATCCGAACTCCGCTTCGCGTCGTTCGTATAACTGTGTTTGCGTGCGGAAAAGTAACACTTTGCGCACTTGTTAGGAAAATAACTATTTCCTACGAGCGTGCGCAAAGTAGTACTTTTCCGCACGCATTTCGGTTCTCAAAGTTGCACTTTTCCGCACTCAGTGCGGATACAGGCCTTATCCGCACTGAGTGCCGAAAAGTAAAAATAATTGTCAAGCAACAATAAGTACACTTGTCGACTTTGACACATGATGACAAATTTTTCCTCTGTTTCTGTACCAGCTAACATCTATACCTACAAACACCAAATTTAATTAACTTCAACACATTGTCAGATTTGTTTTCTATTTATATGCAAGAATCTACAAACTTTCTCATCAAATTTATAGCGTTTTCCATTTGTCGAAACAGGGCAAAAAAATGTATCCTTATCCTTACATGTTTTTAGAAAAAGATGCGGATGCACTCAGTGCGGCACTGATGACAAATGGAAATCGCCATTAAACGCTTTAAGATGAAGAGCTCTGACGATGATTTTCTGTTATATTTTTTTTTTGTTATGTAATTTTTTGATAAATGCATAGGTTCCCTTCAAGTTAATTAAAAATAATTAAACAAATTATCGTTTTTTTTTTTTTGATTTTTGTTGTTACCTACCTGATATGAAGCTCGTAGGAAAAATTTTGTTCCTAACACGTGCGCAAAGTGTCTTTTCCGCACGTAAACACGTATCCGAACTCCGCTTCGCGTCGTTCCTATAACTGTGTTTGCGTGCGGAAAAGTAACACTTTGCGCACTTGTTAGGAAAATAACTATTTTCTACTCGCGTGCGCAAAGTAATTACTTTGCACACTCATTTGCGTGCGCAAAGTTCAACTTTGCGCACGGAAACTCTTTGCGCACTCATTTTTGTTAGGCATAATTACTGTATTTATGCTCGATTTTTCAATGTTTTGATGGTTTCTGGGATAACCTAATATTCAAAAAGAAGGGTTTTAGCTGATTTTATCGCTTAGTAAATATCCTATTAATTTGAACCACAGGGAACATTATTTTTTGACTTCGAATAGGCAACAATTATTCAATAGATAAATAATGCCACCATGCGTATCATGACATGGTGTTTGTCACTTCATACTTTTGTGTTGCTGAGGCTGGGATAGCAACCAAATACAAACATTTTCTCAAACGTCAGAGAAGCGTCGACAAAGAAATTTGAAAAATCTCTTCGAATCCTCTCACAATGGAGGAAGAACTCCCAGATGATGTTCTAGAAGCCGCTAATTTGGCAAACTTAGAGCTCCTGCCGGCGAAATCGAAAGAAAAGTATGAGAAGCAATATTATTTATTTGAAAAATGGTATGAAGAAAAAGGTGTGAAGACTTTGAAAGAGGAGGTACTTCTAGCATATTTTCTTAAATTAAACAAAGAATTCAGTTCAAATACCTTATGGTCCAAATATTCCATGCTGAAGAGTGTTTTGAAGATCAAGAAAAATGTAGATATAGGCACGTTTTATAAACTGACGGCATTTATCAAGAAGCAAAATGTAGGCTTTCAGCCAAAAAAATCGAAGATTTTGTCGAAAGAAGAAATTTCCACGTTCCTTAATGAGGCTTCAGATGATATATATCTTTTAATAAAAGTTGCCACTATTTTTGGACTCGCTGGTGCCTGCAGACGAGAAGAACTCGCAAAAATGAAGACAAGTGACATTGAAGACAAAGGCAATTTAATTGTGGTAAAAATTCAAGACTCAAAAAACTATACTTCTGGAGAAATAAACGATGGAAAATATTTGCTGTTCTATCGGAAGTATACAGCCTTACGCCCATCAACAACACATCAACGTAAATTACAAAAGAGGAAAATGCACAAAACAATGCGTTGGGATCAATACCTTCGGGAAGATGACTTCTGAGATCGCAGCATTTCTGAGGTTGCCGAATCCAACGCTGTACACTGGCCATAGCTTTCGGCGATCTTCCGCAACGTTACTTGCAAGGGACTCACGGATATAAAGCGGTTGAGCGGCTGGAAATCGAGCACGGTAGCCGAGGGATACATTGAAGAATCAACTAGCTACAAAAAAGGGTTAAGTAACAAAATTTTAAACAACAGTCCCAAGAAACCATATGAAATGCCCAGTTCGTCAAACGCTATTCGAAAAGTTGAAATGCAAACTTATACCTACCATGTCAACAGTGAGCAGCGAAGCATCATCATCAGCCTTCCCCTTTCCAAAAAATCAGCTACAATCGGCCATACATTTTCAAAATGCAACTAGCTGTACTTTTAATATTAGTATTGTTAATAATAATAAATAATAATTTTCTCCTGTATTTGTGTTGAAATAAAGTTCCATTATTTATTTTAGAATTCTTCTTTTCTAAGACACTCGTAGAAAAAGTATTGTTCCTGACACTTGCGCAAAGTGTCTTTCCCGCACTCAAAGCTTATCCGAACTCCGCTACGCGTCGTTCGTCTAACTGCTTTTTCGTGCGGGAAAGTATCACTTCGCGCACTTGTTAGAAAAATAACTATTACTTTGGGTTTTACTTTCTTCGGTTCCTCTCCAGGTTCCTTTCCTGATGCTGTCTTTGTTGATTGAGATGATTCAGACATTGTTATCTCTTTTTCTTTAGCTATCTCGCTTTGTTTAGGAAAATATACTTTAGAATCTGTAAAGTATTTTGCTATGATTTCATCATTACATAATGGTGTATCTTTCAGCATTAATCCTATTTTTTTATGAAATTCTTCATTTGAAGATGTTAATCTGGCATCTGGATCTGATTTTTGAATGGCATGAAGTTGTATTGCAGGAATTCTTGATAGTGCGTCTGAATTCATGATTAATGTTCCTTTTTTGTATTTGATCTCATAATCAAATTCAGATAGTTTTAGTCGCCATCTGACTAGTTTAGAACTTGGTTCTTTAACATTAAATAGCCATTGTAGAGGTTTGTGATCTTAAAAGATTGTGAATTTTCTACCAAAAAGATAAGGTCGAAAATATTTTGTTGCCCATACGATTGCTAAAAGTTCTTTTTCAATCGTCGAATAATTACATTCAGCTGGGTTTAAAGTTCTTGATGCGTATGCAATGGAAAGATCAGCTCCGACAGGACCTTGAGATAAAACGGCTCCAATTGCATAGTTTGAGGCATCGGTTGTCAATAAGAAAGGTTTCTTAAAGTCAGGATGTTGTAATATTGGGTCATTTATTAATACATTTTTACAGGTTTCGAAGCTATAAGGAAATTCTGGATTGTGTATTATTTTTTTGTCTTTTTTCAAACAAGATGTCATTGGTTTGGTCAATTTGGCAGAATTCTTTATGAATTTTCGGTAATAACCTACTGATCCTAAAAATAATTTTATTTCCCTCACCGTCTTTGGTATTAGGAATTTTTTTATTGCCATTATCTTTTTTGGATTTGGTTTTATTCCATTTGGTGTAATTACGTTTCCTAAGAATTCGACTGTCTTGTATAGGAATTCTGATTTGTCTAATTGTAGTTTTAAATTGAACTTCTCGAGTCTCTTAAATACTTTCTTTAAATTTTTCACGTGTTCATGAAGTGAAGTGGAAAAAATTATTATATCATCCATGTATACTAGACATATTCTATTCTGTAATCCTAGTAATACATTGTCCATCACTCTCAGGAATGTCGCGGGGGCGTTTTTCAAACCAAAGGGCATTCTGTTAAATTCGTAATAACCATTTTCAACATTAAATGCTGTTTTGGGTATCGAATTTTCATGCATCTCGACTTGATGAAAGCCAGAGGCTAGATCTAGTGTCGTAAAATAATTACTACAACCAATTCGGTCTAATATATCCGTAATATTAGGTAATGGATATCTATCATCAATAGTTTTTTCGTTTATCTTTCGATAATCAACGACCATTCTCCATTTTTGTATGCCGGCGGCATCTTCTTTCTTAGGTACTATCCACACAGGGGATGACCAGGGACTACAGGATGGTCTGATTATGTTATCTTCTAACATTTTGACAACTTCATGGAAAATGGAGGGTTTTATTGAAATAATTGTGATAACTGTCTATACATAAAAGTGATAAGAGATGTAATTTTATGTGTATTCATTTTTGTAGATGACACTTTAATTTCTGGGTCTTGTGTATAAAAAGTTGACAGAATAGAAATTGCGTCAGATACACTGCAAAGGAACATGAACTGTTGCTTGCAGAAGATCAGGAGGCAAAATGACAGCATCTCGTAAGATGAATGCAAAGAAGATCTTGTTTCAGAAAATAGGAATGATTGTAGATTAAGACTGGAAATGATGTCGAATAAATTTATTTCATTCCATATGTTTTTTGCTTAACTTTTGTATCTTTATCGAAACGACTTTAGCACTGTAAATTCCAAATCCAAATGTCATATTGTGGGTTTGATTTGATAATAAGTTTCGGGTAGTTTTCAACAAGAAACTTCTATATTATTATTAGTTCATGATAAATGTCCGACATTTTGTGCTATTAGAAACTAAAATTGGCAACGCCGACTCAAGAAAATCTCAATTAATCAAATCAAACATTACGAAATGAAAATGCAAAGTATAAATCAAAAACAAATTAAGTAGGCGAAAGTATAAAGTTATAGACAATCGATAAATAAATGATGTCGGGCGACGGACGCGCTGAAAATATGTGGCGGAACGTGTTGTTCGGGGGGTTCGCGGTTGTTTCTCAGTCAAAGTTTTGTGAGCAGAGGGTGAACAACCACTGAATTTTAGTTTTGGGGGGTTGATGGGGCCGGCACGTGACTCGTCGTTGCCAGTGAAACCCAAACAATAACTTGGGAGTATTTCCTGGAAACTTCGCTGTTCCACACATTGTTTTGGGTTTTTTAAGGAGTAATTAGAGGGTAAAGATAATAATATGTATAAAGATTTTTTTCTGCACACATGAATTTTTGGAATTATTTGATATTCTTGGCACATAATTTAGTAACTACTTTTTCAAATATACGATAAATATATCTTTCAGTATAGCCGAGTAAAGTGCGTTACTCATCGTTACTATAAAATTATCCAATAATTATTGGAAATGAAAGCTCGTGTATTCATTCAAAAAGTGAAAGCTTGATGGAAAATTAGTGCAAGTTAATCCTTTTAATGAAAACTTAACTTTAAATTTCGAAAACTAAATTTTGTGATTTGGGAAAACAAAAAGTGGCAAGTCTTTTGCCCGTTGAATAAACTTGCATCCAGTAAAACCAAAAACGACGATTATTGGATAGCTATTTTTTATTTATGAATTAAGTATGTATTCTCATGTGATATCTGATTTTAAATGTTTGTCTAAAAAAAATCCTGAATAATTTATTGTATCAATTTTTATGGAATTTTATTCTTTGTCTGTTCACTTGTCTTTAACTGAATTTTATCTGCTTGTATACTTTATAATGTCACACATTATTTCACCAGCTGCGCCTTGCCACTGTTCCTCTTTTACCAACCACTTCAAGCAGTTTTTACTCTATTCTCCGTTTTTCGCCATTGTTAGGATGACCCGAATTGTTTCCACCTTAATTTCTTAGAGTTTATGGGCACCTGTTTCTATAAATTCCCAATTCCACAACCACCTTCTGTTTTGATGTTGTATTTATAAGTGTGAAACATTTTTGAGGTTTTTGACCTGGGTCCTTATTCTTGAAAAAGGGGAGCAGCGTTCCCAGGAGAACGAGTGTTCCGTCTTTCTCAATGATATGCAAATGACAAAATAAGGAACAAAGACAAAACACTCGTTCTCCTGGGAACGCTGCTCCCCTGTTTCAAGAATAAGGACCCTGTGGGGTGCGATGCGCCACAGGCTATGACATATCGCACTTGTCTTGTCAGTTGAAAAATTGAAAAGTAAACTCAACTCTCAACTTATTACCAGACTTCCGAAATCAATGCAGGAGAAGCTAAAATTCCAAATATTCCAAAACTATAATTAAGATCTTCTAATTGAAGTTGAGGATACAAATAGTGTTAGAGATTATGAAATTCTTCTGGAACAACCTAAACCTGAAACTTCAAATAATACAAGTTGTCAAATTGCTGAAGAAAAAGTTTGAAATTCAAATTTTAATACAAATTGCAATTGCAGAAAATCATAGTCAAATCTACGAAAAATCTATCGAAATCTATCAAAACGAATTTTTTGATTTTTTGATTTTGAAATTGAATTAAAATATGGATTAAAATGAGGAAAAACCCATTACAGCAAATAGAATTTGACTATTGAAAATTAGGAAATTTACAGGATCTACAACCGTTGAGATTATTGATGAAATTTTATAGAGAGAAAATGTTGACAAATTTAAGGAAATCTTGAATATAAAATCGAAAGTAGGTAAGAATTATTTATGCAATTTTGGACTGTTACAAAATATAATATATAGGGTTGCCTCGATTTTGATGACTGGAAATGATGGCAACCGTCATTGAAAGTGAAACGCGCGCGACACCTTAGAAAATGCGCGCGAGTCTCTTTCAGCGCGATACGAACGATTATTCTGCCGTCCTCACTTAAAAAGCGGTATCTACAAAAATCTGAGAAATTGAGATTTTTACATATTTGAGATAGCTACAGGTATTGTTATCTACCTACAATTGCTAAATGCGGTAACTATTCATTTACTAGCAAAACACAATATAAATATTTTGCCGTATCTGCAAAAATGACATGATTTCTCAGTTAAAACGCGGTATCTTTAACATCCTTAGGTAAAACGCGGTATGTGCATGTGCGCGTCATGTATTTACCGCGTTTTGACTAAGCAAGCTGCATTTGCCGCTTTTTAATTGAGATGCCCTAGAAAAAAAAAAATTATGGTCAGTTTTAGTCTTGTCGTGTCTTCAATTACTTCGAACCAGGACATATGTTCATGTCAGCTGACAGTTTCCACCACCAAGTGGAACTCTCTCTAAAGAGAAAACAAAAGATTAACGACTTTGGTGATTTTGTTGATGCGGTAGGAAGCTGTTGCAAGGGCAATGTGGACATCAAAGAAATGAAATTTGATGACTTCTATCTGTGGAAAAATATGACGTCACAACCAAAACTTAAGAAAGATCAACTAAACCGACCGTATCTCTCAGATATGGTTCAACTCGTAGCAGAAAGGGGTCGTTACACCCTAAAATATAAGAAACGCTTCAATGGGCCATCTCTTGATCTGGATTTTTTGATGAATAAGGCAATGAAAAAAAAGGAACTACTTAAACCACTCCCTCCATTTACAACAACCCAGAGGATTCTCAAAGGAAAAAAGAGAAAATATTCTCAAACAATTGGGTGGTCTTTTACCAGATAGTAGGAAATTGTTTTGGGAAAATTTACCAGAGCTGAAAGATACTGACAGTGGGGAAGAGGAAGATATGATATAATCAAGTGTTTTACAAAATTATGTACTTATATTATGTTGAATTTGTACAATAAATTGACCAATTTGTATTTTTTTATGTTGAAGTTCACTGTATATTCATTATCGCAATTATCAATGCAGTTACGGCGTTTTTCATTTAAAAATATATACATATGTGCTCTGCACAATTAAAAAGCCGTATGTGATTTTTTAGCCACGCGATAAGCGGAAACATCATTTTTTCACTGAACCTTTAATTTAACAATATTTCCAACTACCACTGTACATTTTTTGTGATAAGAAATCAATATAAACCCAAAATCCAGAGAAAAAACTTTAGACGCTGTTTTCTCATTTTCATGTCTGCTGCAGATACCGCGTTTTAATTGAGGGCGGCAGTATTTCCGTCCGCGAAATATTGAAAATGAGAATGAGAACTTGGTGCATCGCATCAAGAAGTTTTGTAATTGTTTAAGCATGAATGCAATTAAAAATACGCGGCAGTTTAGCTGTGGTATTCGACATGTCTGCACATATTCTTCTAACCATCTTTTTAGACAATGGAATGCAAAAGTTGTGTTGAAGATTATTATGGAAAATATGATGGAAGAAATAAATAAAATCATTGATTGCCATTTGCCAATGAACATAATATAAGTATATTTATTTACATCATTCGGTTATATTTTTTTCTTTTCACAATCAGAATTAGTAGTATCACAAGTATTCCGCTGACAATCCCGCTTTTTAAGTCAATAACTAATTTTCTAGCACAAATTTTTGTAGGAGAATGATAAACTCCGAATACAATTATTACTCTGCTTCGGACTCTGAACTGCCCATTTCATTGTCACTTTCCTCCTCACTTAGTGCGCATTTAACTTTAGTCGGTTATTTTTGAAGGAGTTGCATCACCTTCCAACCATAAAGGCTTGCACCGTATGGGCCAATTTGGACACTTTGATTAGGAAACGTCAATTTCTGAGCGAGATACAGAAAAAGGAACACCTCACTCTGAGAATCAAATCTCATGAAATCTTGATTGGTGCAAACCGCATTCTGATATCTTCAACCGTTTAGCCACTAGAGCGTGATTCGCGATTTTGAGCAAAACTGTTCATTTTTGTCAATGAAAATACATAAGTAATTGATTTTGTAAAAACTTTTTTTGAGCAGAATTCAGTGACGTTCTCAGTTTTTTCTATGTGGCCCCGATTTCGAGATACTGACGGAGGAAAACCACCTATTTGAAATATTATTTGTTCAAATCTTAACTGTTCAAAACGTTTAGTATAGAAAAGCAAATGGTAAATTTTGCAACCATGTATGCACTGTCAAATAGCGGCGAACGAGGCGCGCCACAAAAAAGGTACCGAAGGGTAGAGAGAAAATGAGAGACCCAGAAGGAACAAGCTTGTCCGCCATTGTTCATTATTCAATTTTCATTTTGTATTATACTGATTGTACGATCCAATTTGTGATTAGTTTGTGTGTCATAAGAAGCATTCACAGGTCAGTTGTATAAATGTTATTTTATTTTTGAGAATTCAATTTGTACAAGTATTATTTTTTTATTTTTATGTTTTTTTTTGTCTGTTTATAACATTTTTTATAACATGTACATTGTTCATCTATTTAACAAAAATCGTTTCATGCTGTGAACAACGCAGATAAAAAAGTAAGTTAAAACCTAGAAAAAGTATGCGCTGTCCTCTGTGCTGGGATTTTCATTTTGTATTCAGAACATGCATTAGGGCCTTGTTGAACCTACTAACACTTTCCTACCCTAACGATCCTAGCAAACAAATTGAAAGGTCACTCTAGAGATATTGGCTCAAAATAACAACTATAAGCTGAGTAGCATTCCGAACGGGACCTCAGTACCTGCTGGCAAACTGGTTAACTACCCAAAAACTCTTCAGTATTGAATACAGGTGGTATTGATTAAATGCAGTGTGTGGAATTAAAATTTTAGCACAAGGACAGAGGCGGTACCTAAAAATCTGTAGTATAACATAGCCGGGTTCGTTCAGCAAGATTCAACGGTTAGAATTTTTATTATCTCTTCTTTCAACAAATCTTCTGAAAAACGAAATGAAAAACAAATAGGACCTATGTTGTCGAAACTTACTCAATTTTACTTACTTGACATGCGCTTGACAATAGCAAAATTAGGGAAATTTGAGGAAAGTTGTGATAAGTAAAATAAACACAAAATTTGTGAAACGTCTAATTTATTATTTAAGAAAATCGTACCGTTCTCAACCTGGAACTCACAAAGGGAAAGAGCACGGCAGAGAAGCCCTCGATCTCAACTCCTCAAAAATAAAAAACATATTGTGTCATTTTAATAATAATTTTAGTTGTAATTCAATAATCAATAACAGTTCAAATTAGGTACCGTCCCTTGCTAAAACTTTCATTCTACACACCACATTCAATCAACACTACCTATACAGGGTGTCCCAGGGAAAACGGTCCACCCCGATTTATTTGATTTGGGATGAGAA